CTAAAGATAACAAAATAAAATTTATCTAGTCTAAAAATAAAAAATAATATTCATCTAATCCAGAAAAAAAAAGAAAATTCATCAAATAGTAAATTATTTATACAATCGAAATATTAGTATTAGATATAATCTAATGTATAATTTACTATACTAATGCTGGAGTCAACATTAAAAAATAAATAAATTGATAAAAATAACGATTTCAGACTCATTCAAAACTGAAGATCTAATATCATCTAACTAATTTCTATTGGGTAAGGAATATCTCTCTACTTCATAAACGAATTACTCATTGACAATAACGACTATACAGTATAGTACTATCTGAATGTCTCTCTATCCGTATAGCTAAATATTAGATGAAATGAAAACAGACTGTATAAAGAAGTATTCATCCTTTTACTGCTATAAACTGATTACTTTATGTAAGACAAAGCTCATATATATCAAATACGAGATACCTATCTGATGTTAAGAATTGAGTACTTAATGGAAAAAGAATGCAGATATACATACATGCATACAAAATAGACAGGCTATGTCTGCTGCCGTTACAGATATTATTACTGAAGAGTAATATCTCTGTGTTCAAATTCATACTTGATCGAAGAAAAAACGTCGAACATAGTTTTAAATAAGAGATATATTTGTTTTATTCCTTTCAATTGAGTGTCAGAAAAAAAAATTTGTAAAGGAATAAATGTGTCTGATACTGATAAAAATTACATTTTTTTAAACAGACGACATCTGTTTTCTCTTGGTATGAACAGATATAGAAACAGATATTGTTTGTATTATTTGTCGATAACAATAATATAGAAAATGCTAACTTCTTACCTCTTATTTTTCTATATTGCTGATATGACAAATCTTAAGTTTTATTTCTTATATTTCTATATTGGATATATGGAAAATCCTATTTTTTATTTTTCTATATTGGTTATATAGAAAATCTTAATTTTTATTTCTTATTCTTCTATATTGATGACATAGAAACAGTTAGTTTTGTGTCTCATCTGTTTATAGTAGTAATATAGAAAATGCTGATTTTTACATCTTATTATTCTACATTGGTGATACGAGAATCTTATTTTTTTTATTTTTCTACATTGGTAACAAAGATAACTATTTGTTTTATTTCTCATTTTTGCATATTGCTGATATAGAAAATATTTTTTATTTTTCAATTTTTCTATATTAACAGTATAGAAAATCTTAATTTGTATTTCTTATTTTTCTATATCGATGATATAGAAACAGTTAGTTTTGTGTCTTATTCGTCTATAATAATAATATAGAAAATGCTAATTTTTCTTTCTTATTTTTCTATATTAGTAGTACAAAAAGTCGCATTTTTTTTCTTACTTTTCCATATTAATAATGCGGATGATCATATTCTTTAGTTTTTTTGTTTTTTCTATATTGGTAATGTAGAAAATCTTAACTTTTATTTTTTATTTCTCTTTGTTAACGGTATAGAGAGTGAAATTTTTTATGCATGAGTTTTTGTGACTATTATGCTATGAATTTTATTATGTAATGATAACTGCCGGTGTAGGCACCTATGCATCGGGTTCAGTAAGTAAAAAGATCTGGGCTATGTGAAGTTAAGTTGAACTATAGCTGCCGGGGAAGGTGAAACATGACGTGAATGTATGTTTTTAAAGAAATCAGTTAAAACCTTACTGTACGATTTTTTTATAATCATACAATATTTTAGTGTTGGAGCATCTAAGAAACTTGCTAGAAGAATTGACATCAGATTTCTGGAACGACAATTTTTCATATGATTTTTTGTATCATCTTGTATGAACACATACGATTTTTGAGTAACATCGAATAGGATCATACAAGAATTCATAACTGATCTTACTATGTGATTTTTCGACCTTGGTATGGTCGACACATGTAGCTCAACTTACGACTAACTTACGACCATATACAGTCGTATACTACACTCGTGCACGGCCGTCGTTTATTTCAACGTATACGTTGATTGTATTTGAACGTATGGCACCGTATACGTTCATCGTATACGATCGTCGTGTACGATGACCGTTTCTAGACGTATTTCGTCGTATACGACCGTTTACGATAGTGCTTTTTTGACCT